ACAAAAGCTGAGGTCGAGCACAGCCCTTTCTTCTGGTGGGAGAAAGGAATTTCCCAGCACCTGCAAGGCATATATTTACACAGTCAGCATATGAATAAGTTCATGGAGAGTTTAAGGGGCAGTAGAATCTGGGACAGGAAGAATGTCTAATCTAGCAGAACAGCACGCATTGGTGGCTTCTCAGCGAGCAACAAGAAATCGTCTGCATTATAACAAGTGAAAATCAAGTCCCTATGAATCTCAGCTCCCTTGCCGTGCACACTTCTTGTGGTGCCCTGCCAAACTCATGAGAAGCAGTGGTCCTGTCCTACACATCCAAGGTATAGAGAACTTAGCCCCCAATATATGTCTATCTGTCGTAGTTGCTATTCTGAGACTAAGACAAAATACTGACACCCACAAATTAAAGGAGGAGAGAATTATTTTCCTTCACAGTTTACAGAGATTTCACTTTGCAGTTGGCTGACTCCAAAGCAGGGTTGAGGAGAAACAGCTCCTTTTATGTTGGTGGGATACAGAGAGAGGGATCTAAGCAAGAAGGGAAGAGATGGATGCTTCCTGGCTTTGCTGCTCAGTTCACATTTGGCTATAAACTCACTTGTGGACGGATCCACTGATAAATATCACACACCATGATCCAATCACCTCCCAAAAGCCCCACCTATGAGCACGTGAGGCTTTCAGGAAATCTAGACTTAAGCCATAATAATACTATTGTTTTCTTCTGTTTATATTATTAGCAGTTGAAACCAACTTGCACTGAGCTACGTTCTCAGTGTATTTAAGTATAAACAGATATATGAGACATGATCAAAAATAGTGAATGTCTAAGTTTAAGTTATATATATAATATATATATATATATATATATATATATATATATATATATATGAAAGACATGTTGCCATTTACCCTGCTCCCGGAACATACTACCATGTCCTCTGAGCACACATGTAGAGTTATCCTCACCACTTTCTAAAGCAATTTTAAAAGTTCACTTTTGTGAATATCTTTAATTACACTATTGTAGCTACCTTGGTGTCCTGAATCCAAAATATTTAGCATTCATGATCATTTTGACTTTGGCCGAAAGTCAGAAGTCTCACAGTACGAGATTCAGTGAATAAATGGATAATTAGACACTAATACTTTTACAAGTCTGCCTTTCAATTGGATGGTGCTTGGCAGCGACATTCATTGTATTTATTAATAGCACTTCATAAAGAGAAGTTCTTGCACTGATTCAGAAAGTGGCGAGAAATGGGGTAAGTGTGTTCATTGTGAGGGAGAGTGTTTGAGGGGTTAATGGCACTTTCTTTTACTCTGATAATTTTCTTGCATAAGTATTCACCCTTTTTTTAAATATACTATGTGGATATATAGATTTTGTTGAGACGGGGACTCACAAATTTCCCTATTGGCCTCCAAATAGTGATCCTGATGCTTTAGTCTCTTGAGTATCTTAAGACTACTGTCATATATCACTGTGTCTGAATTTACTTACATCTAACTTTTTAATAATAGTAGATAATTGAATCTGTTGCAAATCACCAGCTCATCATTCTAGTATCATATAAATGACTACAGGTCAACCATATGACCCTAAGTTTAATGAATTAGAATAACACTCTTACTGGAAGTTTCTGTAGGCCAGGAACGTAATCATAGATTTGCCAAGTCCTCTGCTTCCTGGTCTCATGTAAGACTTAATGAAAGTTCAGAGACCAAGGACAGAATCACATCAGAGGTTCTGGAAAAGGAACTGCTGTAAGAATCAGAGATTCTTTTATGAGGATTCAGCAATTTTGAGATGTTGGACAAATGACTTCTCTTCTTTGTGGCTCTCTGTCTGTTATTACCTTTTTTCTGTTCACATAGACCACTCCATATGGCAGCTTTCATTATTAAGGCAAGCAAGTGACATATCCAATAGAGCCTGTTAACAAGAAAAGAGCTTTAAATTACTAGTCTTATTCATGATAATCACCAAAGTGATTCTATCATATTTTTTGGTTAATTATGAATTCTTTTACTTAAGAATATACATTCTTTATATAAGAGAAGAAGAATACACAAAGGTACGAACACTCAAAGGGGAAGATAGGCCAGTTCAGAGACTGTCTGGCCTGCCCTACCTCCATAAGTCTAGAGACTTAATTCTGTTCAGACTTAATGATTGCACAATAAACAAGAACAGTTATTAAACAATGTGGCTAAAATAAATAATCTTAATGTGTCTTTGTGAGCTAATTTATCACAAATTTATAATGAAACCAGTCCCTCAAAATCACCCCACTGGGACGTTTATAAATCCCTTCCTTTGAACCATAGATTAATGTCATTTAAGATTTGAGGATATTGAAGGTATCCCAATTACACAAAACAGGATTATAACAACATGTAGATGAAAGAGTTGTAGAATGTAATTGTCACAATCATATCTTACTTTAGAAAAATCTATCTAAGCAATTATATCAATTCCAAACCTAAACAAGGTGTTTTTTTTTTTTGCTTAATCAAGAGCATAAAATAGGAACGACATGAATTTCATAAGGAGAAATAAAATGGAATTCATTGTTTCAGTCAATGAAGTGAACTTATTTACCATCAAGTATATTTGCATTTGTAATGTTAGTAAAATTGTGGAAGATATGTTCTAGTTCTTGGTATTGTTATCAACAAAATGTTCTCTACTTTCCCAATATTTAAATACAGCAAATAATGAGTACTTGTTTTTTAATACTTAAACTATAATTCCTGGATAATAATTTCATAGGCTTTACAATTGACATAAAACACCGATAAACAGTGGTCATCAGATTAAGTGGCCTCATGGACCAGAGACTGATAATGTGCTTATTCATATACAGTATCTTTAGAATTGGGGCAACTCTGAGCAAACTACTTATATTGAGAATGGCAAAGCAATGGTTATCTATATCAATTTTTGGTTTTCACTGAAAGAGGGTAGAAAATTGAAGGAAACTAAAAGGAATAAAATATGTAAATTACTAAAATAAAACTCTACCTCATATTTTTATAAATTACATAGACAATATTATTCTTTATCAAGGAATTCAACATACAATGAGTATGTACAATAACATTACTTATCACAGCATTTTTGATGTAGATAAACTTGCATTTAAGGAACTTAGTCATTCAAAAGGACTAAGCAATTTGGATAAGATTTTTATAGATATTCTCACATAATTAATTTTCTAGATTACTTCTAAATTCAGAATATTTTGTAGAAGACTTTTACAGAAGCTTGATAAAAATATAATTATAAATAAATATAATCTACATTAGATTAACTGAAAGGATGGAGAAATGAGGAATCATTCGACAAAGAGTTAAGCAATGAAGGGAAAGGACCATGGAGAACAAACTTCAATAGAATTTTCTTATAAGACAGACCAGAGAGAATGCTTACAGAAATCAAATAGGTTACAGTGAGTGTAATAAATAAAGATACAAAATGTTACTATAATATATTATGTTTTTCTAAGTGTATTGCAGAATGATGACAAAATTACTTGTGAATTAGAAAAAATTACATGATACAAATTTGTGAAGATAAATTGATGATATTCTAGTCATGAAAAACAATATAAAATAAAATTATTATTTAGAAAATGATTTATCAGTAAAAATGTACATTGGAAGACAGATGTCAAAGATACTAGGGAGACAGCATGGATACAGTAAAACAAAGTCAGTGAATTGGAAGGTAATGTGATTTTTTGAAGCCATCCATGCAAATACTTTTGATGCATGTACAGCTTTATAGCATAAAAATAAGACTAGAAAAATGTATATTAAGTCCACTTACTTAAATTATGGTCAATAAAGAATGTAAGAACAATATTTTGTTTTAGCAAGTGGAGTTATCAAATTATATCCTCTTTTCATTTCACTCCAGAAGGTACAGTGGATAAAAATGAATAGAATTTTGTATGTAATGTGTCAAGTGATAGATTAATACTGTTTCATTTTAATTAACAATGTTATACATTATAAGACATTCTAAATGAGACTACTACTTAATTAATTTTGAGATTTGCTTTGAAGTTTGTCAGAAATGTACTTAAGGATGGAATTTCCTTGGAAGTATCAGGAAGGCCCTGATACTGTTAATGTACAAATACACATACACATAAAATTCCTATGTAAATCTATTATTTATTCACATCTTTAAAAAAATAAACAAGTACCTCTTCACATCTGTTAGAATGGACCAAATTGAGAAAAATTACAACATCAAATATTGTAAAGCGTAAGAAACAATGCTATCTACCAATTATGAACCTCACAATTTACCCAAAGGAGTTGAAAATCCATTGTCACACAAAAACTAGTATGAATATTTATAGCAGCATTATTCAAAATTTCAAAATTTAGATGAAACATATATATCTTTCTTTATGAAAATAAATTGTGGTGCATCCAGGCAATGGAATGGTGTTCAGCATTAAAACAAATTAGGCGTCAAACCATAAAAGGAATGGAGAAATTTTCTGAGCATACTACAAAGGGAAAGAAGGTAATCTGAGAGAACAATATTCTGTATGATTCTAACTGTATGACACTGTAGAAAAGCACAAACTATAAACACAGAAAAATATAGGTGATTATTAGGGACTGGATAGGGTGAGGGATGAAGAAATGGAGTACACAAAAATTTTCCAGGCACTGGAAATATTTTGTTTGAGAACACAGTGATAAACACCTGATGGTTGTCCAAACTTCTACAATGTACAACCCCAAAAGTGAACTCCTGTGTAAATTGTAGGCATGAGGTGATTACTGCATGCCAAAGTAGGTTTACTCCCTCCTGCAGATACATCCATGTAATAGGATGCATCATCAGTGGAGGGAACTGTGTATATGTGGAAGCAGGATACTGAAAATCTCTTATCATCCTAAGCTTTTTCTGAGCTAATAGTTTCCATTAAAATAGCCTTAAAGTTAAATAAACCGTTTTCTCTAACCCACAGACCTCCTCCTGTAAGTGAACTTGCAACCAGAGGGACCATGGTTGGTGTAATTTCTGCTGCAGCCATTAATCAGAGCATCGTATATTCTATTGTTTCAGGAAATGAAGAAGGTAGGTAGATTTTGCAGTTGGTTTTTCACTGTAAGCAAACCCTGAATAATATTAATCCTAGATGTAATTATATATTTTATCTTCAATGAAATTGAATTCAATTAAGTATAATTAGTAATTTGATAAATAATCTAATTTTTCCCTTAGATCCTAAGTAATTCTAGAAGGTTACATTATATTTTATATTGACGGCATTATAGTAATATTCTTTAAAATGAATGCATGTTATTGAAAGTTTTGGATAATAACTATTATATATAATAATGTCTCAGTATTACCCATATCATCAACAATCTTGACTTCAGGTCATACTATAATTAATCCTGAAGAAGTTTTAGTATCATATATTAATGTGAATGTTCGAAACATCATGATATATTAAAAATTTTGTATGCCATGTAAAATGATTTCCCAAGCAGACAAACTCAGCCATAGAGCCAAAAAATCCTAACTCAACAGATAATCTGAGTTTTACTTACCTCTTTCAGAAATGGTAATTTCAGAAACAGTAATTGAGAAGAAGTTCATAATTTTATGAGCTCTTTGTTTCACATAATATCTACCTGTTGATTGCTCGTTATGCTTCTTTTGATTTCCCAGATAACCTGACATATTATAAAGTTAATATATATTTTATTAATTAATGCTGAAGAATTATTGTTAAGAAATGTTAATGCTGATCTGCAATTCACAAGAAAATTACAAAGGCCTTTCTTAATCATAGGAATGACCAACTTTGCTAGAAATAACTCTGCCTGCAGCAAATTTTCAACATCTTTTTTTTTTTTTTTTTTAACTCATTCGCTTCTGGTTTCTATTACACTGCCTCGCCTCCTCCACAAAGATAGCTGAACTTCCTCTTCACTTGGAGGTCCAGCATCTGACTGAAGTTATTTTGCTCCATGATCTCATCAGCATTTTTCTTTGAAGAAGCACTTTGGCTCTGTTTGTTACCATTTCTCCCCACAGTGATTATTTCACTTTCAATTCCTTTATTAATGTAAATAATTTATTAACCATGTATTACATATTAGTTTTTATCACAGAAGGTAGGAATAGAAAAGAAGAGAGATGATAATAATAATTGATAAAGAAATGTGTAGAGTTTAAAATAAAAAAAAAAAAAACCAGAAAAATAGTGAAGTAAAGATATGGAGACTATAAGAGTTCAGATATCATAAACTTTACTAATTTGACCTTTTTATATCAATAATATATAGTAAATATGTAAACATGATACATTTTTATTATAAAATATACATTTAAGTATAAATATAAGACATGTAATAATATTACATTATATATTATAAATGATACTATATGATTTTATGTATTATAATTGTACACATCATAGATTATGTATTTGATGTAAAATGTCTTTCACTATATGTATATACTATGTATCTATACTTTTATGTATGATATATGTATGGTTACATATTGTATAAATTTGAAAACAAATACACATATATACATATTTTATATATATATATATGTATATATTATACATATATATGTAAGCATAGCGATCAGTACAAAATATTCACAATATTTATATCACAAATACTTTTATAAAATAAACACATTTTAAATTATCAGTTCTTAGCATACCATTAAATCTATAGGTCATGCATGAAATTTAAAAAATGTATAATCTAGTAATATCTTGTAATACTTCTTTACTTTTTTATGATACTGGAAATTGAATGAACTACTTCTTTAAATAAAATTAAATGAGTTTCATTATTTATTTAGTTAGTTATTTTTTGTGGTTCTGAGGATTGACACCAGGGTCTTGTGCTTGCCAGGCAAGAGCTGTACCACTGAGCCACGTCCCCATCTCCTAAATGGATTTCTTTACAAGAGCCTGCATCATTGTAAAAAAACCTTCCATGTTGGGGCTGGGGATTTAGCTCAGTGGCATAAGTGCCTGCCTGGCAAGTGTGAGATCATGAGTTCCATCCCCAGTACCCCCCCTCAAAAAAAACCTTCCATTCGTGTGGTAACCAGAATATTGCACCCCATTATAATGACCATAGAAATGCTAACTAAGTAGAAGAAAATCTCAAAATAATAATACAATTTCAAAAATGCATTTAGGGAAACAGTGATGTTGATAATATCAAGGGCTCATAACACTGTGTTAACATTTTTGTGAATTATGATTAGATATTTTCAGTATTTTTAAAGCTATCACCTCTAGTAAAAGGAATATTTCCTGTGCAGTATGTGGAAAATGACTAAGAATTGCATTTTAAATTCTAGATAAGTTTGGAATCAACAACATCACAGGTGTTATCTATGTGAATGCCCCTCTGGATTACGAGACCAGGACAAGTTATGTACTTCGGGTCCAGGCAGATTCCCTGGAAGTGGTCCTTGCCAATCTTCGAGTTCCTTCAAAAAGTAGGTTGCAATACCTCAGAATTTAACAAGAGTTTTATGGAGTTGGTGTTGATTATATAAGTATGAAAAATAAAGATCTCTGTGGAGAACATCACAAGATTGTTAATAACTATACATGATGGCTATTTCATTGTAAAATTGATACCAATACTGGGTCTGATTTCACACTCTTGAAATGGAAAAGCAAAAACTCACTGTTTATGAACTATGTGTACTACATTGTTAGGATTTCATCTTTATGTGTGCATGTAAAATATCAAAGCTTATTCTTAGCCTCACTGTGAAACCCTGAATGAGCATTTGAAACATATACATCAATGAGTGTATTACATTACATAAATCATAAGGCTTTTTATATTTGACAATTTTCTTACAACAGACGAAAAACTGCCTTAAAAGTAGTAATTAAAACTTATAATTGAAATTCACATGTAGTAACATATTTAATCTAACACTTTTTAGGAGAGAAAATTAGTACCTCATTTTACAAAGGCAAGGAAGAAAAGTTTCACTGATACTTTAAAAAAATGACAATCTGTAATAGAGGAGCTGAAGACTAAGTCCACATTGAACATTTCCTGGTTAAATGTTACCCACCCAGAAAAGCAAGTGAAGGTCAAATTGTGAAAGGCAATGATGCAGATTTTAAGGGGATCTATCAATAATACAATAAATATTATTCACTTATATTGATTATATTCTTTTGCACTAAATAATCCAAACTTTTGTTACCACAACATTCCTTTAAAAATATTGATGATCCAATAAAATCTTTAGTTTAACTGTGTGTAAGGTGGAGGCATAGACTGTAATATGAAAAATAGTATCTGAAGAATTGACCCTGCACTTTAGATGATCCCTGGACATCATATCACATCATATCGTATCATATCATATCATATCATATCATATCAGAAGTCAGCATCTTTAAAAGAGAAAAGAGTAAAAAAGAAGAGAAAATGAGAACATTAACAAGATAAAAAGAAGAGAAAAATCAGGGCAAAAATGTATTACAGAATTTTCTGTGCCAGTTATGAACTAATGATCATGAAAATAAATGACTATTTTTATTTTTTGCAAATGCTGCTTTACAGAACTAGTAGAGAACACTGTATAATTGCTTGTAGAGATACAAACTAATCATTCATAAAATTGTACAGAATGACTATTTGAAATTAGTAGAATTAGCTACCGTGATAACACATTACTCACCTAATTAAATTTTTGAAAAATAGGAGACCAGTTATATTTTGAGTTTTTAAAATCTTTAAACTTCAGGAAATTATATTTTTAGTAAATATAGAATACTCTTTAAATTGTAAATTGAACTGGTTAATTAACTAGACAAAAGATTGGAATAGCTCTAAATTGCAAAATATACCTTATCACAAATAAAATAAATGAGCAAGATTAATTTTAGGAAGAAATTTTGTGTAAATATTTAGACATAAGCCCTGATATTTCTCAATACATGTGATTTTTTTGGACTAGAGATATACCAAGTTCCTGAATGTAAATATTAGTCTATTTTTAATCTATAATATTAAGACTACTAATGCACACATGTGCCCTCTTATTAGTCTATAATATTGACTATTAATGCACATATATACCCCTGTGTGTCACTGTATGCCCGTACAGATAAGCCCTGTTAACAAATCTGTGAATTATCCCCTCAGATACACATGAAGTGTAGAAGTTATTAGTTTGCTTAATTCCTGATGTTTTAAATACTATTGTTAACATTTAGTGGCTGGCTATTGCCTCTTAAATTTGAATTGCAAACTCATGCATTTTAAAAAAATCTCATTTATTAATAACTGTTAATGTCCTGAAATCCATCCTCATTCCATTAGTTATGCAAATAACTAGAGAATTATGTAAATTGAGGTTAATTTATTGGTTATCAAAAGATTCTTTTTTAGTATTTGTTGCCCCTATTCCTTTAGTTCTTCCATATATCACATTAATAACAAACATAAAAGCAGAAAGTTTATTATTTTGTGATTCCTTCACCAAGAAATTATTAATAAAATTATTTTCACAGTAAATTTTATAATCATTTTAGTATTTAATATTTAAATGCAAATTAATTATTAAAATAGAAATATTCAAACTTATTTCATAAATTCAAAGTTTCAAATATTTACAACTGTAAGACTAATGTCATAAATAATTTTTACTGGATAAATAGTTTTTCAGTTCTAGATATCAAAGTACAGAACATGGTAAACATGAATATTACAGAAAATATTACAGTGTACATTCATGTGTCAACTACCCAAGTGAGTGTTACACATTCTGGGAAATAAACTGATCTCTAATTCCAACTATTTCATACTTCGTTATTCTGAAGCTGATCAAGGACAAGGCATCTCTTATATTTAAATATTTGATATATATTTCTTAAAGATTAGAACTCTTAAACTTTAACTAAAATTTCATTATTACTTTCATCCAAATGAACAGATTTATTCAATGCTAATATATATTCAGTCAGTGTTAATATTAAACATTTATTTTCATCATAATTCTAATCAGGTTTCATTAACTGCACTTAGTTATGACTACTTTAATTTATTTTTAATTTTTGGCTTTTTCCTATTAGCATGTTTCATCCTCCTCGACATCTGTTTCAGAAACTGGAATAGAATCCAGGTATATTAACTTATACCTGTAATCTGAGCACATGGGAGGCAGAAGCAGGAGGATTGTGTGGAGTTCTAGGCTAGTCTAAGCTACACAGTGAATTCAAGACCTGTCTGGAGTTGATCCTGGTTTTTGGTGACTGTATTGAGAAAAGATTATTTAATGTTTTCATTTGTCTTATTTATTGCTAGTAGTTCGATAATACATCTAGAGACCATTTAGACCCAGGTTGTTTTACATATTTTTTAAATCAACTAGTTCTCCTTTACCTATCAGCTATTTGATTTTCCCTTGTGATGACTTAGTCACTGACAATCATGTTTTAGGTCACCTAATCATTCTCTCATTTCTTCTATATTCATTGCCCAAAATATTCTGAGAAAGAGGAACGTCTAGTATCTAATATCTGATTATTCTGAGGTCTTGTACCCAGTGAATCACAAGTTAAAGCAATGGTGGAAAATTTCTCTCATTTATTGGTTTTCAAAATATGAAATAGCTCCAAATAGGACACTTGAGAAGCAAATATTTTGAGGTTTTATGCCTGTTTTACCTCTTTTGCAGCAAATGTACTTGATTTTATTATAGCTTTAAGGTTGAGAAAAACCCAAAGTGTGCAGCTGTGCTCCATAAACTGTATTTGATAAAAGAGGCTATGGCTGGACTTTGTTACCAAGTTCACTCCCGTGCTTTAGATTGTTCATATGGGCTTCTAGATAAATTTTTCTCCTCTTAACTATTAACTTTATCATTTAAATTTCATTAATCATCTGTGGAAATAGTTGGTAATACAATAGATATATAGATGATGAATGTATAAATAAATGCTAGAAAAACACAAACTAACATAAGGCATATTGAAAGAGCATTTTCCTCAATAATTTAAAAATAAGTAGGCTTAAGTAGTTTTCCCACTACCATAGCTCTTCTGCTCACTGCAAAAATAAAAGTAGTAAATATAAAGAAAATACAATCTTAGTAAACACAGATGTTATATATTCCACTATTCCCAGCCCCCATCTACACCCTCTAGGGTCAGAATGTTCCTGATCATTGGTCTGAGTTCTATAAGAGATCTGGGTACTAAGCAATCATTGTCTTAATAAGTAGTTACCATGTCCAAGTTTCTACCCTCTAGAACTCTTTTGTGCATGCAAGAGAGACACAGAGACAGTGTGCTTTCAGAGTTATGGCTGATGCAGAAACGTGTGCTATGTACAGAAGAACAAACAAGTAACACAGGAGTGATCAGAAAAGACCTTTCAAACAGCTTGACCTCTGAATTGTGTTCTGAAGAGTGGACATACAAAACTTAAAAGTGCAATTTCAAACACAGTAAATAGATATTTTAAATGATTAATAACTATATATATATATATATGTATGTATATATATAGTCTTTTTTTGAGACACGGTCTCGCTATGCAGTTCAGGCTGGCCTTGAGCTCACTTTGTAGCCCAGGCTGGTCTCGAACTTGCAATGATCCTCCTGCCTCAGCCTCCCAAGTGCTGGGATTACAGGCGTGAACCACCACGCCTGGCTGGGTATTATAAGAGATTAAAAAATCAGAGTTTACTGCTCTAAAACCTCTTTCATGGAGAATTAAATCTGATCAAAAAAGAAGAAATTTAGAAACAATTTTGTGTACGGTGTGATTTTAGGAAAAAATGATATAAAATTTTACTTGAATGCCTGTCATTATACACTCACCAAACTGAAGAGGATTGCAGGATGTATAAACTTCCCTTTCTAATGTTTAACATTACAAACTACATAAAAACACTGTCCCTGTGTTTGCACAACACGATGGATTCATATTTGAGGCTGACTAGAGAAATCTAGAGAGGAAAAGATGGAAAAACAACTCTCACAATCCTTGGAGCCACATCTATATAAACGTATAATCTTAGAATTATGGAGGAAAAAAAATCTGTGAATGTTGTCCAAGATCCAGATTTGAGACTCAAGTAAATGCTACTTTTCTAGATCATATTCAGTAGGACACCTAGAAGCAAGATGAAAATATAAGTGATAAAACTTAATTCATATTGCTAAAAGCATACTAAAGTGACAAGTCTGACTTAACTGAAATTCACTATCCAAATTAAATTTCTGCAGGATGGCACACCAGCTCTGGGTAAACCCATTCATAGTGTCTGTTTTAAACACAGACCTGACCCAAAAAATGTTCAGCAGTAATATTTTCTGTCTGACTCATGCATCTCTTGTGCTTGGTCTCAAGGTCAGATCATGCTAAATCTAATGAAAAAGAATGAACTGAAGTGGAGATTAATAAAGGGCAATAAAAAGAAGTATTTTACAGTCTGTTCATGAAAGGCAGGAGACCTTC